CAAAAGGCTCTGCTTCAGTATGGTTTGTGTCAAGCCATTCATTAATCTGGCTGTTTGATGAAGAGATAAAATGTAGTAGAAATAAACATGTTAAAAATCAATAGAAGCGGAGGACTATTATTAAGGTTTTTTTTAGGACTATTATTATGTTGTAATGTTTGGTTGACCAATTAGCAGAGAGGGGCGTTTCATTCCCGCCCACATGTAGAGATCGAATATTCAAGTTGTTTACTCGTTTTCTATCCCTGAATGTAAAAATGAAAAATTAAGCCGGATTCTTGATTTTTAGTTTTGTTTGAATAATTGAAAAACGAAATATGTGCCCGTTTTTCATTTTTCAGATTTCAATATTAAAACAAAAATTGATTGGACGGAAGATACCCTGATTATTTCCCTGCCATTGTTTATTTTGTTCTATTCTGTTTTATTTAGGTCTGTTCAGTTTTGTTTAATTTTGTTTATTTTGTTCTATTTTGTTTTGTTTATTTTGTCCTATTCTGTTTTGTTCTGGACTGTTCAGTTTTGATAAGTTTATTTTGTTCTTTTCTGTTTTGTTTTGTTTATTTTGTTTTATTCTGTTTTGTCTATTTATTTGTTATTCTTTTCTGTTTTGTTTTATTCTGTTTTATTTTGCTCTGTTTATTTTGTTCTGTACTGTTTTTGTTCAATACTGTTTTGTTTATTTTTTTCTGTTCTGTTTTCTGTTCTATACTGTTTTTTTGCTGATATATTCTATTCTGTTACATTCTGTTCTATTGTGTTCTGCTAAATCCCTTACTTTATATGCTGGTCTTTGTCTTTCTGTGCTGTTTCTTTTAATTCAGTTCTGTTCTGTTGTAATTCATCCCTCTTTTTTATGTTGTTTTCAGATTTCCAAGCCACCGGTCTGAAAAAAGGCATGTTCTTCAACCCCGACCCCTACCTGAAGATCGCCATCCACCCCGGCAAGCACAGCATCTTCCCTGCTCTGCCTCACCATGGCCAGGAGAAGAGATCAGGCATCGTCTGCAATACCATTAATCCCGTTTGGCAGAGGGAGGTATGGGAAACACACAAGCGCACACACACGCTAGATTAAACATGCTCATATAAAAATCCTTATAAAACAATATCTGGTCCCAGTGTTATTTATTCACAGACGTTTAACACACAGACGTTTATTCACAAAGATGTAACTAAATCAGCATACTATCATCTCAAAAACATTGCAAGAATTAGAGGTTTTGTTTCCAGTCAAGACTTGGAGAAACTTGTTCATGCCTTTATCACCAGCAGGGTGGACTATTGTAATGGTCTCCTCACCGGCCTTCACAAGAAGACCATTAGACAGCTGCAGCTCATCCAGAACGCTGCTGCCAGAATTCTGACTAGAACCAGAAAATCTGAGCATATCACACCAGTCCTCAGGTCCTTACACTGGCTTCCAGTTATATTTAGGATTGATTTTAAAGTACTTTTACTCATTTATAAATCACTCAATGGCCTAGGACCTAAATATATAGCAGATATGCTCACTGAATATAAACCTAACAGACCACTCAGATCATTAGGATCGAGTCAGTTAGAAATACCAAGGGTTCACACAAAACAAGGGACAATAAATACATTTATAATGTTACAAAAGATTTATAGTTTAAATAAATGTTGTTTTAATTTTCTATTCATCAAATAATCCTTCCACAAAAATATTAAGAAGAATTTTTAATATTGATAATAAGAAAAACATTACAAAAACATCTTTAAAAATCTTACAGACACCAAGCTTTTGGAACTGTAATTTTGAAATGAAACATTTTTATTGCCTTAATTTAATTACAGTATATTTAATTATTATTAAACTGATAATGAAACATTTTTTAAAAATTACAATCAATATCATTTAAAATGTATAATATGGGGTCATATGTCTGTTATGAAACAAAAACTATATGAACAAAATATGACTTCATGAAAATGTCTAAAACAAGATGTTAACCCATGCTTTTATGTGCAAGTTTTTTATGCATGTTGTTGCCCAAGTTTGGAAATTGCTAAATAAGTTGCAAAATATTGCAGCAAATCGAAATTGTTCAAATCCATCCAAATGTATCACTTTCGCCTGGTGTATCTGCCTTCATATTTTTCATTTCATTTAAATTCTGTGTATAGTCAAACTACAACCACTTACACGCAAGCAAACTTTCATATCAGACAAGAGCATCTCCAGTGTCACTCTTACTAACCCACAATGAGATTTTAGCAATGATTAACATAAATTCTGTGACCTGCTCAAGACTGTCTGTCACTTTTTCACGCTACTGTGGTTTGTGTGTGTGTGTTTATGTCAAAATTAGTCAAATCTGAAGCATCCTACACTGAGGGGATCTTTGAGATATTCCAACAGTAAAAACTGCATGAAGGTTTTTATAAATAATGTCCTAATTAGAGAGGGCCACTATCATTTAAAAAATATTTTCTCTTAAATATTTTTGCCTGCCAGACCAGAATATTGACTTGAGCTTCAAATGTGTGTTTATGTTTTGTTTGGCACGCTCAGACTGGGAGGCCCGTATTGACAGTCACGGTCGTGTGTTCTATGTGGATCACATTAACCGGAGCACCACTTGGCAACGGCCAACATCCGCAGCCACGCCGGATGGCCTGCGCAGGTCTGGTTCCGTCCAACAGATGGAGCAGCTCAACAGGAGGTAAACAACACTGTTTTTTAATAACAGTTACCTAAATTTTACACTTCTTTTACAAAATAATGTGGAATACTGATCAATTGCACTTATGGTGCATCCTGTGAAGATCCAAGTCCAAATGTTTAATTTGTTTAGGTCTGACTCTCAGATCTGATTGGATGAGCCATGTTTTTATGTTACAAATACACCTACTTGTTCCAACAGTAAGTGCACTAAATTTAAGCTAAATTTAAAGATAAAGATAAAAAGATCAATTTAAATGTTTTCATTAAACATTGGTGTCTTTTATTGTTTAACTTTTTTTCCATTGTTTTAGAAATCTTATTTAGTATTATTATTGTCTAGTATTATTATTATCTAAGCATTTTTAAGTCAAGATACATTTGAAAAGCAAAATATAAAAATTTATTAACAGCATGCACCAGTGCATACTCTCTTTTAGTGTTAAAAAAAATATTAACAAGACATGCAGTGAAAAATTGGCAATGAAAAAGTGTGGGCACGGGTATTTTTGTGGCTGACTGTATTGCATATGCATTTGTAGGAGTTTTCCTTTCAGAGGACGTCAAATTTATTGGAGGAGAGTATTTAAATGAATAATGCAACATGATTTACTAAGGTTTGCAGTAGTCATTTTACTGGTATTTGTGTCATTATTTAAAACATAAAAATATCTGTCAGTGGGGTAAGAAAAATAAATGTAATTCAAAGGGGAAACAAGTTTATTTTTCTTACCCCATTGACAGATTTTTTTTCTTGTTGTAAGCATAAACCTCACTTAATATTGATGCATTACTGTAACTTTTGAAACTTTAAGCGTGGTAAAATCACAATGTTGGTCAGCATCAAGTGGATTGTATTTAGCAAAGTATGACTGACTCTGTTGCTATATTTTAACCAAATAGGCACATATAACAGTAACCTTTATAAAAATTATCAAAGCCAATGATTCAAAAAGTGATTAATTTTTTTTGGGTCAAATGCCGCAATTTTTCTGTAAACCAAGCAAGTTCACATGGGCTTATAAACATGCACTCTTTTGCCACCTACAGGACAAAAATATAGGTGCTTCATCATGTTTCCATTTAGAGTCTAATTAAAGGCTGTTCATTTAATAGTCCAGAAGCAGCAGATGACTGATTTAGATTATTCTCAAAGCACTCAAAGCTTTACTGAACCGTCGAGCAGCATATGAGATATGTAAGTCAGGGCATTTGGGTAGAAATAGTTGTAAAGGAGTCTTTACAATGGGAGTCATACTGTACTGATGTTAGTGACTAATAACAGCATTACTCGTGTCCTCATCAGGTACCAGACCATCCAGAGGACGATGGCCACAGAGAGGAGAAACGAGGAGTCAGGTAGTCCCCGCAACGAGAGAACAGCCAACACTGAGACAGACTCGCCTCCACAGACAACCGGTAACAAACATAATGACTGTTGTTCTCTTACCCTCAAAAAGTGACAATGATTTGCTTGTGCTCACGTCAGTGGAAACCTGTTTGTTTTTGTACACCAAAAAAAAGTTTATTTTGCACAATATCCAATGCAGAATTCTCTTTTATAGGCCACTTGATAATTCGTCCAGCTAGGAAATAGAGTATCATTTTCTCAGCTCCATTTAACACCATGTTTAAATCCATTTGCAGAAAAAATTGGAAAAAACCCTGCAGATTTTCATTTGCATACAACAAATGTAGACAGTAACCAATGTCTGTCAAGTTCAAAAATAGCGTATATGCATTTCAGGTCCTTAACGCAATGACGTAAGGCCAGGGGGTCCGTATAAAGTATGAATTTTTGTATATTTTGACATGACAGGTTCCCATGAAAGAAAAATCCAATATAGCTGATGGTGATATGGCCAAATACTGGACAAGTCAACTAACTTGAATTATACTTGACTGCATTTGGTTCCTTACAAAGACACAAAGGATACATAGATGAGTCAATTTTGTTCCGGGGGTCCTTGAGGATGGTTCTGAATTGGACTGGGGTCTGGAACGCCAAAAGGTTGAGATTCACTGCTCTAAAGCCATTTCACAGCCTTCTTTGAGGAAAATTGACTAACGGTTCAAATTTAAGTCATTAGTAATTTAAAAACTTGCATTTTGAAATCTGACGTGTTCATGATGAATGTGAAAAATTCTTCGGTTGGTTTTGTGAGAACTAACTTGATGTAGAAAGATGCTTAAAAGGAAATGAACACAGACCTCACATATCTTGTGAATGTGGAAGGTTTGACCGTGCAGAAGAATAAACACAATTTGAGAGCTGAGGCAAAAGGCTGGATTTTTTTTTTTTTCGTTTTTGGGAAACTGTCCCTTTAAATGATCTTCTTCTTTTTTAAGAGTTGAGGAGAGACGCCCCATGTTCTCCAGGTCATTGTCAGAAGATCACGTTACTGCTGCAGAGTCCGGCGGTCAAATTCATCACTCACCCAGAGTTCTTCACTGTTCTCCACGCAAATTATGTGAGTTCCCACCACACTGCACACTATTCACTACGTCTAAATCATTTATTCTACCTCTATAGATTATGCTATTTAAGTTATAATATTGTTCAAAAGTTTGGGGTCAGTAAGATTTTTCTTTTGGAAAGAAATTAATACTTTTATTTAGTAAGAACACGTTGATCAAAAGTGACAGTAAGGGCAATTATAATATATATTTTTTAAAAATTGGGAATAAATTATATTTCAAAATATATTCAAATAGAATGCAGTTATTTTCAATTGTATTTTTTTTATCAAATAAATGCAGCCTTAGTAAGCATAAGTGATTTCTTTCAAAAACATAAAAATAATTACCAATCCCAAACAATAGTTTATATCTTGATGTTTTTTCTGTTTCATCTTATTGGATGTCTTTACATTTACGTATTTGTTCTGAAATGGGTTAAAAATTCGATTTTAGTAGAAATCTAGTTAATGGTCAATGTTTTCAGTAAATCTCAGGATGTACTATTTAATCATATTAATTTTTTAATGTACCAATATAACTTTGCATTGTTATAATCAGCAATATTCACCAGCATAATTTTATTAAAATTTGAGTGATGAATCAGTGGCTGAAATGTTACATCTTTTTCAAAAATTGATTTGCAGAAATGATTCAGACTTTTCCAATCTATGGTTTTTTGACAATAAAGTTTAAGCCAGAGACTCTTTTTAAAAAATCATGATACAAGGAGGGAGCGTGAAACTAGTCCTTTTGCATGTTCTTTAGGGTGCTCAACTAGTAAAATAAAATAGAAATTAATATCACAATGTTGATGACCATGATCATAACCAAAGAAACTCAATACATCATAAATATCCAGTGTATATAGCTGAGTTGATATGAATTCTTTTGCATCTGCTTCCTAGCATACAATGAAAAGATTGTAGCATTTTTACGGCAGCCAAACATCTTTGAGGTGCTACAGGAACGGCAGCCAAACCTGGCAAGGAATCACTCACTCAAGTATGACACTACACCTTCCTCTGTTACTGTAACAAAATGCATCATTAGTTCTTTCAAACGGTTGTCAGTTTTTTGGGTGTGTTTACTATGTCTGTAGGGAAAAGGTGCATCACATCCGAACCGAAGGCACACAGAGACTGGAGAAGCTGTCATGTGATGCTGATCTGGTCATGCTGTTAAGGTAAAGCACCCTCCATCCTATGAACTGGCCATTATATATATATATATATATATATATATATATATATATATATATATATATATATAAACAGCGCACTGTTTTGACTTTGAACATGCAGCGCTCACATATATTTAATGAAATCAAAGCCTTTTGAAATTTATGTTGAATTAACATGATTCCAGTTTTTCCATCCCCAAATTTAAGACCTCCTAAAATGATAATTAAGACTTTTTATATACCTTTTTATACATTTAAGATATCATTTCATAAAATAGAATTTTTAGACTTTTTAAGGACCCACTGGGACTTTTTTTTATTTGCACACATGCTCCTAAATACAGTACATTTTACAGTTCACACATCTATTTTTAGTCACAAATGTGAATGAAACATTAAGCACTGAATATGTGTCCCTGACCACATTTTGAAGACACATCATCCCATTTAAATTGGTCTTAAATTGATTTACTTACATGAAGAACCTCAAGTTTGCAAGGAAAGTCCAGTCATAGTTCATTGACACGCTCTGATCTGCTCTGATAAAGGCTTCCTTGAGCGAACTCCTCTCGTTCCAGCCTGCTGTCTGTCTGGTGAGAGCTCTCCAGGTCAGCCGCTCTCCAGCCTTAAATACTGTCCCAACCCAGCTGCCCCTCTCTGTGTCATGAACACATTTACAGACCCCAAACCTGTAGTGTGTGAATATACAAACCTTTGTTTGCCACGTTTCCTTCTGTTCATAATGTGGTTAACTAGTCTTTTTTGTAACTGGTCAGTTTTATAAAAGTTGACTGCTGTGCATGTTTGGACAAACCAGACAAAAATGATTGAAGATAAAACTGTCCTCCGAAACATTATCAAAAATCTTTGCCCTGAAACATGTCTTTAATGTAATGAAAGGAATAATAATTTCCCCTTTTCATGTGTTTGTTCTCAAGGTGAACTCTTTCTGAGTTGTTTGATGGCCTGCTGATCCTTGACAGTCTTTCCCTGATGACTGATATGTACAGTATAGTAAGCTAGATTTGACATCTGTGGTGATGATTTGTGGCTGGGTTTCAGGGACCCAGAGGGCTCGGGCACCAGCGCCCTACCGCAGAGATTTTGAAGCCAAACTGCGCAACTTCTACAGGAAGCTGGAGGCAAAGGGCTACGGGCAAGGACCCGGCAAGATCAAGTGTGTAGTCTCTTCTGCTCACCAAGACTGCATTTATTTGATCAAAAATACAGTAAAAGTAGTACAATTGTGAAATATAATTATTAGAATTTAAAAGAACTCTTTTCTGTTTTAATTTGTAAATTTTATATTTATATAATTTTATATTTTAAAATGTAATTTATTCCTGTGATCAAAGCTGAATTTTCAGCATCATTACTGCAGTCTTCAGTGTCACACGATCCTTCAGAAATTATTCTAATATGCTGATTTTCTGCTCAAGAAACATTTTTTTTATTATTATCAATGTTTAATATAGTTTTTGCTGCATAATGTGTTTGTGGAAACTGTGATAATTTTGAAATAATTAATAATAAAAATTATTTGAAATACAGATATTTTGGAACATTATTAATGTATTCAATGTCACTTTTGATCAACTTAATGTGTCCTTGATGGATAAAAGTATTAAGTGTGAGGCCTTTAAAGTAGGATCTGCCAGATGAATGTCCTACAGTTCTGACTTCTTGTTTTTTAGACTGATCGTCAGAAGAGATCATCTGTTAGAAGGAACATTTAACCAGGTCATGGCCTACTCCCGTAAAGAGCTCCAGAGAAACAAGCTGTACATCACCTTTGTCGGAGAGGAAGGGTGAGGCAGAGGACCGTTTGTACATAACACAATGTAATGACAGCAAATATAACATATACATAATTCCTGATATATATACTTAAATATTTTTAAAGTTGAAAGCAAACTAATCTGCACAATGGTAATTAATGGCTGGTTAGTCATTAGCCAAGTAATATCAGAATAACCAAATATTGTCTATTTAATATATTGGTATACAAAATACATCATCTGTTATTAGTTTTAAATGGTAATGTTTTATTTTTATTCCGATAGCTTAAACACAAAGGAAAGGCAAATAGTTATTTGTGGTTATATCTGAATTCTGCGTTTCTTTCCAGACTGGACTACAGCGGACCATCGCGAGAGTTTTTCTTCCTGCTGTCTCAGGAACTTTTTAACCCTTATTATGGCCTGTTTGAATACTCCGCTAACGACACGTACACTGTCCAGATCAGCCCCATGTCTGCTTTTGTGGAAAACCATTTGGAATGGTAAGGTTCTTTCCACTTCCTCCAAAGGAATTCCACTTCCTGTGTGGTATGAGAATGCATACTTAATTGTCATTGACAGAGAAATAAGTGAAGTGGCCAAGTATGGTGACCCATACTAAGAATTAGTGCATCCAAGTGCACACACACAGTAGTGAACACAGCCATATTGCTGCGGCGCCCAGGGAGCAGTTAGGGGTTGGGTACCTTGCTCAAGGGTCTCACCTCAGTCGTGGTATTGAGGGTGGAAGAGAGCACTGGTTATTCACTCCCCCCTACGACAATTCCTGTTGGACCTGAGACTCGAACCCACAACCTTTGGGTTACAAGTCCGACTCGCTAACCATAACGACTGTTATGTCAAGTTATGCCATTGGTGGCTCTCACAGGCTTCTGTTGTTATTGGCAGAATGTCTTGTTTGTTTTGATCGCATGATGTGACGTGTGTTTTCAGGTTCCGTTTCAGCGGTCGAATACTTGGCCTGGCTTTGATTCATCAGTATTTGTTGGACGCCTTCTTCACCCGCCCGTTTTATAAAGCTCTCCTCAGACTGTGAGTGGACCAGAAACCATTCAATGCATTCAGCTACACGCAGACTTTGAAAATGATGAAAAAACTGGCATAAATTAAGAGCTTGTTGTGTTGTATACAAGCATCTTAATTGAAACACACAAATTTTTTTTTTAATTTTCAGCATCATTACTCCAGTCTTCAGTGTAACATGATCCTTTAGAAGTCATTCTATATGCCGATTTAGTGCTCAAGAGCTGCTTTGCATTTTTCCAGGAACAGCATTTAATTGAAATAGAAATCTATAAAAGTCTTTACTGTCACTTTTGATTAATTTAATGCATCTTTACAGAATAAATGTATTAATTAAATTTTAAAAAAGACCCCTACCCCCAAACTGTTGAACAATAGTTTGTGTCCTTGTGGATTAGTAGTTGACAGAAATGGGATTTTCAGTAGCCAGTAGGAAGCAGATATTTAAATGCATTTGATCAAGGATTAATTACAGTAAATTCAGCTGTTTTTTGACAACCATCTCAATGTCAAAATGGACCTAAATTCACTCTTATTGCAATTTTGCAATAACAAAATGAGACATGAATGAAATGAAATTAAAATGGCTTAAATTAACATGTATTTTTATACATTATTTACTTAAACACTTAAATTTATTATAACGGCCATAGAAATCTTGAAGTAATGCCAGTTATCAGTCAATTAGTTGGCCTGACCAATCTACAATAAATTGTAATATATTGACTGTAAAAACACATGTTCATTGTTACCCCTGTTTGCAGAGCCACGGATCTCAGTGATCTGGAGTACCTGGATGAGGAGTTTCATCAGAGCTTACAGTGGATGAAGGACAATGACATCACAGATGTGCTGGATCTCACCTTCACAGTCAATGAGGAAGTGTTCGGACAGGTGGGTCTTTAATTATATATATATATACATATATATTATGTGTATTATGATGTTATATATATATATATATATATATATATATATATATATATCATACATCAACATCATCATACACATAATTGCACAAATGTATTTCTAAATATGATTATAATTATATTGTAATATTAAATAAATGTATATTAATTATAATTTTTGGGCATCAATAATAGTATAAATTTATTGCTATTTTGTAATAAACAGCTGCCTAAAGATTCCCATGGTTTATAAAAATTAGGAAGAGTGGAGTGAATTAAACAAAACATATCTTGTCAGGTAATATAATAATAATATATGTCAGGTGACCGAGCGGGAGCTGAAGTCCGGCGGGACAAACGTGCAGGTGACGGAGAAGAATAAGAAGGAGTATATCGAGCGGATGGTGAAGTGGAGGGTGGAGCGAGGTGTTGTCCAGCAGACACAGGCTCTGGTCCGGGGCTTTTACGAGGTAAACATGCTTATCATCTGATTTACTCTCTGCCCGTTTACCACCATTTAACATCTGACCTCTGTGTGTGTGTGTGTGTGTGTGTGTGTGTGTGTAGGTGGTGGACTCTCGTCTGGTGTCTGTGTTTGATGCCAGAGAGCTGGAGCTGGTTATTGCAGGAACAGCAGAGATTGATTTAAACGACTGGAGAAACAACACAGAGTATAGAGGGGGTGAGAGGACAAACTTACACCTACATACACACAAATACAGAAATACACACAAGATACATACACTTGATATTATGGCCGTGCCAAAAGAATCCACATGTTGAAAGATATCAATATATACTGTATCATCATTTTTTCTCACTATTGAGAAATTGTCACTTCAGGACCTTGAATTAATTCTATTTTATATATGAATGAAAACATAAATGGAATGTAATTTCTACACTTCATTGAGTGAATAAGCGGGTCAGTGTTTCTCAGTGCTGTCAGGGGGCAAATGGCAAAAGTAAAGTTCTAGCTGTTATGAGAACGTTTTGTATTTGAACACTGTCCTCGCCGTCAGGTTATCATGATGCGCACATCGTCATCCGGTGGTTCTGGGGTGCGGTGGAGCGCTTCAATAATGAACAGAGACTGCGTCTGCTGCAGTTTGTGACGGGCACCTCCAGCGTGCCGTACGAGGGCTTCACTGCGCTGCGCGGGAGCAACGGCCTACGACGCTTCTGCATCGAGAAGTGGGGCAAGATCACATCGCTCCCGAGGTATAGTGATGCACTCATTCATCTATCACAAATCTTTCGTTGATTTGAGCTGGTATGGGAAATGTTTAACATAAATTCAAAGAATGTCAATAATGAAAGTTACAGGTCCTCTGAGAAATGCAAGCATTGGATTGCTCTACAGAACACCTGCAATAGTTGGCAAATCATTTTATGAATTTTTTTTATTTCCATTTTTTCATCCAAGATATGAAAAATGATCAAAATTATAAACCTGTCCTTTCAAATAAACAAGAAAAATGTGTAAAAGGTGTAAAAAGAAATTATTGCTGTTATTTTATTTTATTATATATTCCGTATTTATTTTAATATGAAATGGTTTGATTCTGTTGATTTGCACTTTTTTATGAATTTGTCAAGAGTCTCTTCGTGATATTTATATATTTTTTAATAATTATGTTTTCCATGGTTAAGCATTAGTGCAAACACTAACAAATCAAATCGAACAATGTAAATAATTTGAAAATTAACAGTCATTAATAATGTAAATAATTTAAAATGAACATTAACAGTTTTAGTAATATTAATATTATTAATACATTTTAAATTATTTATATTATTATATGATTAAAATTGACATGGAATAATCATTTAAATAATATAAAATTAACTGTTGTAATAAAATAAATAATTAAAAATGAATAGAAGTTATTAATATCATTTAAAGTAAACCTTAATAATATAAATTATTTTAAATGATCATGAATATTTATTTTGATTATTGTCATCAATGTTAAAAACTTGACCAGACCTGAAAAACAGATTGGTCTTGATTCCACTGCTGATGTGTCATGTCTGCTTTCTCAGGGCGCACACATGCTTTAACCGTCTGGATCTCCCACCGTATCCATCCTACACGATGCTGTATGAGAAACTGCTGATCGCTGTGGAAGAGACCAGCACTTTTGGCCTTGAGTGAGGACTTATTCACCTTCCTCCCGGTGACCTTTCCAAATACACCGTATGTAACGATCTACTAGCGTGGATCGTGGATCGTGTCCTGTGTCCGTTTCTTTGGCTTGTCCAGGACACCACAGCATGCACCAGTCACCTGTGCGGGTGGACAGTGTGTAAAGGGTATGCAAAAGTGAAAGAGAAGCCTTCAACCTGCTTTAACACTCAGGGCCTCGACCTCCGCTGAAGTTGGTCTCAGTTCTCACATCATCATTTCACCGCAAACCACGGCCAGCATCCTTTCCTGTTGGTGCATTCTCACATTGACAAGAATTGTAAAGTTAAACCAAATATGCTCACAGAACATATCTGATTGAGGTGCGGTAATTACTGTAAATATGTGCACTAGTTCACATATCTTACCGAACATGGCATCATCACAGGAAGTGACATCACTTTGCAGGAAGTCTGAACTTTAATTTGACACTTTTGATTTATTCGTTTGTACTAATCAATACATTTTAATATTAAAATCATTAAAGCGTCAAACATATTAAAGGCTTCATGCTGTCTTGTCTGTAATATTTGAATGAATCTCCAGTGTTGGAACTCGATTGCTTTCAAATGAATTGATGTTTTTGGGTTTAAAAAGCCAACATAGGATGTTTACTTAAATGTCAACACTAAAAGCGAAAATGTGAAGCGATCAGAATATATTTGATGTTTATTATACAGCTGTGTGGAGCCGGATTTTAAACCAATGAGACTGCACGGTGGGCAGAGCTATCCAGCATAACAAAGCATAAAAACAAGGGACTGAAAATGACTTGTCAGTTGTTAGTTGAGTCTAGATAAGATGCTTTGTACAGGTGCATTCATGGTGACGGGGATTTATAGTGATTTGAGCCAACAGGAGCGATGTGATATGGGAAGTAAATGCTCATAATGAGCAGTTTTATGTGATTCTTTATGCACTACTGCAGTTTGTGTATATGGTTTCCTTCAGCATGTTAATTTTTAGTATTAAAATGGAATGATACTTTGTTTTATTTATTGTATTTTTATGTACTTTTTTCAGTTTTCTAAACCAGATCATGTGGGCATTACTATCTGCGCTCTCATTGGCAGCTGCCGCATCGTATTTGTTGCTCATTTGCATAGAGTTCAACTGTTTGTCTAGACTTTGTCGCTTCGCCATTTCGGCATTGTCACTTAAAATTTACTTGAAAGTTACTTAAATGTTCCTGATGCCATGATATGCACTTGCGTTCCCTAGTGTTTATAAAATGTATTTTTGTTTTTTCTATTTATATGATGTCTTTTTATGACTTAAAAATGAGTGAGGGGACTGAAAGAAATGAAAGACCAAAAATAGTAAATAATTGTGCACCACACACACCATGTTCTTCAGGGTGTTTTAGCTGTTCGTGTTTGAAGAGCGGTGAGATATTCGGAGAGCGATTTATTTATTCAAAAAGGAAATTGGTTTAAATGTCAACATGTTTTGTTTTTTTAAATGTCAGGGGGTTCGTTCTGTGGGTTGGTTTATTGACAACTAGATTCCTTGTGCTGACGTTTTGATTATTGTTCATGTTTACATTTTGAAATTATGTGAATGTGTGTATTATACATTAAGATGGTCATAAATTGTCTTAACATGATGCCATTTCAAGGTGCATGTATTTCTGTCTAAACCACACGTGATGAATCAGTCTTTTTAGTCTCCTAACAATTTCTAAATGGGATCGTTCACCCCCCCACCCCCCCATACAGAATTACATTAGGGTGAGTAAATTATGTTTTCCTTAAGTTTTCATTTTTGGGTGAACTGTCCGTTTAATGTAGCGATGATGAAGAACAAACAATTTTGTCTGAAATGTAATTCTGCTAAAAACAACTGCAGCGCAAAATGAACAAAACTCAGCTTAAGATATTAGGAATGTAGTAAGCGCATTTGTATAATTTATCCCAATTAAGAAATTATAAAATGTCTGTATATCAAATGTGTACATACTTGCTTGAACAGTCTATGTAAAAACTACATTTTAAAATGTGATGAATCAATTCAACAGCCAACAATTCATGTCTTCATACTTATTATTTGCATAATGTTAGTTTTCTCAAATGTATATTACTATGCATATTTGGTTGGAATTGTAAGAAATGCGACTTGTGAAGGTCGTTTCTTTATTTATCAACTCGCAGACATTTGACAATGTGAGGGAAATGAGGAGAAGGTTCTGGAACATACTGCCTCTCTATAAACATGGCATTCTGGGAAATGCAGAAGGGTTTGGCTCCTGCTTCCACCTCGGACACATACACTCGCCTGCTTATGTCTTTTTACACTTTAATCTATGTGTATGGAAGAGAATAAGAGCGGAAAATGTATAAATGTTTTGAATTGTGTATTGAGGTCACTTATATCACTGTAACTACAGCATTACACTGTTAATGAATGTCAATAAACAATCACTTTCTAATGCATTGCAGCTGACTCGTGATCCACCGGATGTGGTTGTAAATCTTGCTGAATCTGGAAAATTACTATTTCTTTGTAAAATTAGATGTTAGCATATACTATATGTTAACGTAGGGATAATATACTGTCCATATACAACAAACCCAGTGCCGCATTAATCAGGTTAGACCAGGGGTGCCCAAACTCAGTCCTGGAGGGCCGGTGTCCTGCAGAGTTTAGCTCCAACTTGCCTCAACACACCTGCCTTTAAGTTTCTAGTATGCCTAGTGAGAGCTTGATTATCTGGTTCAGGTGTGTTTAATTGGGGTTGGAGCTAAACTCTTCTGGACACCGGCCCTCCAGGACCGAGTTTGGACACCTCTGGGTTCGACGTATTTAACGCGGATGAAAACGAGGCTGTAAGTGATAGACTTACAGTATTGCAATGGCACGCACTGTATAAATGTAATTTTCACATCTCACAACTTTTAAAAGGGTTTCATGGAGTTTTTGTCTACTGGAAGCTTTTCGTTTTTCAGAAAGGTCTTTCAAGAGCAGTCATGTTTAGACAGCACTGAACTTCAGTCCCTCACAGCCTCGTTTTTATTCCTGTCAAAAGTGAAATATGTAATATATACGAGCTAGACAGAATCACGTATGTGCACATATTGCATTTAAGTAAAGGGGTTTCGCTAGTTTAATGCATTTCATTCATAAATACTGCACATTTAGGAGAAAAAATAAATAAATGTATAGTGTTTTAGTAAATGTTAATGCAATGTATTTCTCTGATCCCTCTATTTACCCAATTTAGTTTCCCTTCTCATAATTTTGTTATTCCTGTAATATTCAAGAAAACCTCAAGCCATCTGAAATGTGCCAAAACCAAGCCAGCACATGTCTCTACGGTCATCTAATCTGCAAAATAAATACATCAAATATGAAAAACTTGATGTCATTTAATGAAGGATTTATACATGCCACTGGCTAAAACACTGTGATGTAATATAAAATATATTGCAAAATCATTACAATTTCTTTGTAAAATTAGATGTTAGTATATACTATATGTTAACGTAGGGATAATATACTGTCCATATACAACAAACCCAGTGCCGCATTAATCAGGTTAGACCAGGGGTGCCCAAACTCAGTCCTGGAGGGCCGGTGTCCTGCAGAGTTTAGCTCCAACTTGCCTCAACACACCTGCCTTTAAGTTTCTAGTATGCCTAGTGAGAGCTTGATTATCTGGTTCAGGTGTGTTTAATTGGGGTTGGAGCTAAACTCTTCTGGACACTGGCCCTCCAGGCCCGAGTTTGGACACCCCTGGGTTAGACGTATTTAACGCGGATGAAAACGAGGCTGTAAGTGATAGACTTACAGTATTGCAATGGCACGCACTGTATAAATGTAATTTTCACATCTCACAACTTTTAAAAGGGTTTCATGGAGTTTTTGTCTACTGGAAGCTTTTCGTTTTTCAGAAAGGTCTTTCAAGAACAGTCATGTTTAGACAGCACTGAACTTCAGTCCCTCACAGCCTCGTTTTTATTCCTGTCAAAAGTGAAATATGTAATATATACGATCTAGACAGAATCACGTATGTGCACATATTGCATTTAAGTAAAGGGGTTTCGCTAGTTTAATGCATTTCATTCATAAATACTGCACATTTAGGAGAAAAAATAAATAAATGTAGAGTGTTTTAGTAAATGTTAATGCAATGTATTTCTCTGATCCCTCTATTTACCCAATTTAGTTTCCCTTCTCATAATTTTGTTATTCCTGTAATATTCAAGAAAACCTCAAGCCATCTGAAATGTGCCAAAACCAAGCCAGCACATGTCTCTATGGCCATCTAATCTGCAAAATAAATACATCAAAAATGAAAAACTTGATGTCATTTAATGAAGGATTTATACATGCCACTGGCTAAAACACTGTGATGTAATATAAAATATATTGCAAAATCAGATGAAAACAGATTGGAGGAAGTATATGCATGGATGTTTTGGCAGAGGAACGTGAAGACAGATGGTCCCCAGAGCTCTGTGGAATATGAGGATATTTCTGGAGCAGGAGCGGGTGGTTTTGGGGGATAACAGTGGGATTTTTGATGGGCTTGAGAGAAAGAGGAAAGTTTGAGACATGAAACCCCAACTCGGTCTGGATCAGGTTTTGTCAGATTCAAAACAGATTCTAATGGAAACAAAACAGATAGTAGCCTACTAAATGCAATCGTATTGCACTAATTATTATTATTAGCAGTAGTAGTAGTATAGCTTTAAGTGTTTTAGACATTCTTTTTATTTAAAACATTTTGGGTTCTTATGGTTCTCTAGCCTCAATCTTTCAGCCAAAAATAAAAAAATAATAATAATGAGAGGAGATGTGGATCAGAGAATGGCTAAACTGGGTCACCGTGTTTCTGTGGATGTAGTCTGCTCACTCCTCTGAATGTAGATTTATGATACTTAATGGTTATAATGAACTGAGCATGGTTTAAATTTGTCATTTGAAAAAAAGTTGACTTAGGAAGTACCAAGGGAAATCTTTCAGTACATGGCCTAAAAGATCAACCGATCATATTTCAAGCAAAATCTTCATGTAGTTTTATTTCCAGCAAAGAAAATTTAAGAGAAAGGATTAAAAAAATTGGCACACAATTGACTAGTCTAACTTAATATGACTATGGTGCTTTGACAAAATGCACTTGTTTTCTGTATAGGCTGCATCTTTTTAAATTCCTGACTAAATTAAATGATTGTTTGTTTGTTTTTTGCGAAATAATTCAAATTTCTTGGGTTACTGAATAATAAGATTTTACTGACACCTACTGGTAAAGTTTAGTAACTATAATGGTACTAGACGATCCTTAGATCCCAGTGTTGGTATTACAAACTGTATTTTCAAGTTTTGCACACATTTGAATTTGTAAAGTCAAACAGAACCCTGTTGAAAAAACCAGCATATGCTGGTTAGGTATGTTTTGACGCTGGGATACTGGTTTAAGATGGTTTATGCTGGTCCAGCAAAGGACCAGCATATACCAGCAAAGGACCATCTTAAACCAGCAAAGGACCATCTTGAACCAGCAAAGGACCAGCAAAGGACCATCTTAAACCAGCAAAGGACCAGCTTGAACCAGCATCCCAGCGTCAAAACATACCAAACCAGCTTATGCTGTTTTTTTCAACAGGGAAGTAGGTTATTATTCTTTTGACTTATTTATGTGACTGCTTCTACAATAGTAGCCTATGATCAGATTTGCTTTAACACGTTACGACTATTGCATGTGTTTAAATGAGTGGTTTACAAATAAATATAAATAAAGACATATTTAAAGATTACTATCGCACGATTTATTGTCAGAAGAACACCCTTAATTTCACAGAATTGAGCCCTAATTCATTCATTCATCGATCTCAAGGTCCGTTCATAATAATAAGTCACCGTCACATCTATTATTTCTTTTACAAGCAAAGCCTAAAGGAACTGTTTTAAATCACTAAAAGCAGCGCGCTATGGAAGCGGCCATGTTCGTTTTACTTCGAAAAAACTTTATTGAAACATCGATGAATATAATCTGAAAACACATTGTAAACATTCAGTCTGCGGTTTATATATTATATGGTTTTATTCATATAAATGATAAAGATATCAATGTAAAGTAGTAATGTTAGGTTAATAACTCTTGATTTTTTTTAATTTTTTTAAATTATAATATATGAAACACAGAATGACATTAATATACTACATGCCAGGGAGCAAGAAAATAATGTACCTTTTTAAAAAGATTCACAGTTTGTAACTTTATTATTAGCGCGTGACGTCAGACGCACGCACGCACGCACGCCGGGTTACGAAAAAGAGTTATGAAAGTTCTTATGAAAGTTCTTTCCGGAGTCACGCTATATAATGTCATTTATCTCTATTACTTCCCTGCAGATTCTTTAGAGATCCACACCGAAGGCTCTTTGCGGACATTCAGAGGTGAGGACATTCATATCTTGCTCTTCTAGAAGAATGCGGATTATTCGCTGTGTAATCTCTCGCACCGGCGATGCTGATGCATTTAGTTAAAGGGACGCTTTTGGTGATTTAATTAACACGCGTATTAAAGCACATTAATAATAAACATCGCTTTTTATTTCTGCTCTTTCCTACTTGTTTCAGTTTTTTATAACCATTTCTTACTATGTGTCAGTAAGCTGTTGTTATTTTAGCATGTGTGTTTGCCTCAGTGTTATTTTTTTAGGATTACTGATGAACTAATGTACTTTGCTTTGTATTAGTTATCTATTTTCATTTACAGTTGTAGTATGTTGTCATTTTATTAGTTTTTTATTATGTCTATATAGGTTTTTTTATTACATTTTAGTTTTATTTTGAGTTATTTCAGTACTTCAACATACAAAATGGATATGAAATAATATATATATATATTGAATGTATTTATATATATATGTACATGTATATGTATATGTGTGTGGCTGTACATACACATATGTAGTTGTTTTTTGGTGTTATGTTCTTAGTGTTATGTTAGAATCATTATTATACTCATACCTTTTGTTCTTTTAATATTTTTAATTGTTTTTAGCTTTATTTTGTTTTCATTTGAATGTTTAGTTTTGAAATGTTGTTGTATGGATTTGTCATTTTTATTTAATTTCTTTTATTTTCTTAAATGTATATATATATATATATAGTGTTTATAGAGTTTTAGCTTTTAGTTTTAATGACTTTTTCTTATTTGTAAGTCGCTTTGGATGAAAGCGTCTGCTGAATGACTAAAAGTAAAAGTAAAAGTAATAAAAGGGGAAACAGCCATGCATTGTCAGTATTTTGCAAGACTTTTTTTATGATTAGGAGATCCTTTTTGTCATTCATTATGTCATGGGAAAATAAAACCAATTATAAACACGCTAAAAAAAATTTTTCTTTATCTGATGTTTACGTGTATAGTTTGTAATTTTTAAATATTATTTACTGTCTTCAATTCTGCCGTCATTACCATCACGACAGACACACTAAATGTTATTAAAGGAAAGATTGTGATGTTTGACTTGAATCAAAAGATCATTTTATTTTTAAAAGCATGTTCTTTTGAAATGAATGAATTAGTAATTATTAATTATTCACTGCACAAGTGACTGCACGAATCAAAAATACTAAACCACTTTTGCAAATGTTTTTTTTTTATGCCTTCCATTTTCCCAGTATACAGGTATCTAATATAACCAGGATTTGTTTATGCAAATTTCAGAGAAAACACTGTAGTTGTCCAAGTCAAGTATAATGTACACTCTAAAAAATGCTGGGTTGTTTCAACCCAATGTTGGGTCAAATATGGACTAACCCAACTGTTGGGTTAAAAAGCTCATTTAAAAATGTAACCAAAATTTAACCCAACAGTTGGGTTAGTCCATATTTGACCCAACATTGGGTTGAAACAACCCAGCATTTTTTAGAGTGTACATTTTATTTTATTTTTTAATTATGTGTGACTCGATCTCTGGTTACAGCTTATTAAACAGACAGATACTACGTGCAGACACACCAAGAACTCCAGTTCAGCAAGCTTCTCAAACCAGTTCCTCAGAAATGTGCTGCTCTTTCATCATAGTGTCTTTGTATTGACGTGTCTTAACATGATCGTGGATGGGGACAGTGTAGATGTAGATCAATCCTCTCCATGCTTGTTTTAAACTTTTCCATAGCTGCTTCATTTGCATTATGCCATACAGAACTGAAATTAAGTTCAGAACAATTTCTCACTTATGCTGATCACTAATGCTGATTTTCTGCTGATGAATGTTGTGTTCCTGCAGGAATCATGTTGGGATCAGTGGTTATTGGTATAGGCATCGCAGGATGTGTGCGAATGAGAGATTTACTCACTCCTCTGCCGTCCAGCGCTGCTGAGAAGTTCAGCATCAAGGGCTTTGTGTCCAGGTCAGTGCATCATACAGACACTTGATTTGTTCCATGAATTAAATCTGATTGGCTTAACACACATATGTTACAGGTTTGTTTCTTTTGACCTTACAGAACATAAGATAAGCTCTCTGAGGACTCATTTCATGTCATATGGCAAATATTTACTGTGCTGTTCTTAGTGTGCAGTTTCAGTAGAAATCTGTACATGTACACACATGAACCATGGCGAAATAAATGTCAGAATAGATGCCTGCTCTTAAAACAGGTTTTCGAGTCCTCATTTCGAAAGGTTCAAATTGAAAGTTGTATTCATCATATGTACATGGGTAAAAGGCGAAAAAGTTTTACTGCTTTAAATTGTTGTTGTTTTCCCCCAAAAAATTAAAAAATGTTTTCTGTTTAATTTAATTGCAATTTTGTTTTGTTTTTCCGAGCAAAAAATAAATATCATACATTTTTCCCAGATTTACAGAAGAGACCCACTAAAATGTCATTCAGTGTAACAATCTTGTCAGGCATATTTACAACAAAATTCAATTTTTGACACATTAAAAGACTAATTTCTTTCACCCCAAATTAATACTAATTAGTTGTAATTTTACATTTTTTAAATTTGCCACTATCCTAGGTTTTGCCCATTTGTCAGTAAGAATTTTTTACTTAAAACACAATCAAATTTAATATTCTCCCTTATTCTTTTATATATTTTAATATGTACATGTCAGAATAACGTCTCTAGGTTACGTATGTAACCATGGTTCCCCGAGGGAACGAGACGCTGCGTCGAGTCGCTTTGGGAACGCCCTTGCGTGACCGCGTTCTGAAGCACGTGTCAAATCCGTCCAATGGAGCAGCGAGACGTCACGAGCAGGGTGACGTAAGCACCAGAAAGCATAAAGGCACATCCGGCCGGGCGCAAACCAGCTTCGATGAAGTAGCGCCGGCAGGGATGCAGGGAGTATGGCAAAGAGACGCAGCGTCTCGTTCCCTCGGGGAACCATGGTTACATACGTAACCTAGAGACGTTCCCCTTCAGGAACTCGAGCTGCGTCGAGTCGCTTTGGGAACGAGAATACCAACTGCGCCATACTACCAAGTCCCTGCCTGTGTGTGTGTCCTATGAGCACATCACGAAGAGAGAACTGGGGAACCTGGGGTAGAAGCCAGGTCTAGGTTGTAAAAGCGGACAAAAGTGGGTGGAGAGGACCAGCCCGCCACAGCACAAATGTCCTGCAAGGCCACACCCAGGCTGAAAGCCTTGGAGGCCGCCATACTCCTGGTCGAGTGCGCTCTGACCCCCATAGGTGATGGGAGGCCAGAGGACTCGTAGGCTAGTGAGATGGCCTCGACCACCCACCTACCCGTAGTCTGCTTGATCGCCAGAAATCCCTTCTTTGGCGGACCAAAACAAACAAAAAGCTGATCTGCCTTACGCGACGGGGCAACTCTGTGTGCGTAAGCGTCCAGTGCTCGAACTGGACAGAGCAGATTACGCCTTTCTTGGCCTACTTCCTGGTATGGAGGAGGACAGAATGCCTTAAGTACTATGGGCACCTTGGTGCGCTGTACCGGCCTCAGCCTCAGGGTGCCATGGAGGAAACGAGTGGCAAGTGGGTGTCTTCCCAATGATTGACCACCCAGAAGGGCGTGGTAAGCAGCTAAGGCCGCCACGTATACCTTCAGAGTGGAGGGAGATAACCCTGCGGAGAATCGCTCCTGCAGAAACTCCAGAACTGTACCAATTGGGCAGTTGACTGGGTCCTGCAGTCACTGTCCGCACCATGAAGCGAAAAAGTTTCCACTTCAAGGCATACTGTTTCCTAGTGGCGGGAGCTCTGGACTGGAGTA